TTATACTTATTATCTTGTAAACAATTGACAAATCAAATAAATAAATAAAATAAATAAATAAATAAAAATGCAAGTAGAAAATTAGAGACCACCTTTGGTGGGAAGGGAACAGCGTTCCGTGCGCCTTTGGTGTTTAGTCATGCCGGCCACATGACCACGCAGACATCTTCGGACAGCGCTGGCTCTTTGGCTTTGTAACAGACATGAGCACCGCCCCTTAGAGCCGGAAACGACTAGCACATATGTGCGAGGGGAACCTTTACCTTTACCCGCATCCTGGAAAGCCATTTTCCCATTGGCGTGAAAGAAAGATACCGCCCATGTCTGTATTCACGTGAGCTGAGATGGCCCACGCTCACCCCATTGACTCAAGAGATGGCGGCTTTGTCCCCACATGTGAGAAGGCCGCTTTTGTGCAGTCCCGTGGGGGGGACGGGGATGGGGACGAATAGCATTTGTTGACTGTGTGTCCACATCAATGGCAACTATTGTTCTCCTGGAAGGTCCGGCCAGGGAGATGTCAGCGTGGAGCTTCACAGCCTCTTTTGATGATGCTGGGAAGAGGCACCCTGCCCTCTTCAGAGATGTCAACACAAATGTTTCAGTGAAGAGAAACACTCCCCTTCCCCAACACACACTCTGCTTCTCTCCAACTATATGGATACTTCAACAAATTTAACCATAGAGCACACAATGGAGGCCCAGAGGCCTGGGAAAATATTTACAGACCCCTCACATCCCGGACATAAACTGTTTCAACTCCTTCCCTCAAAACGATGCTATAGAGCACTGCACACCAGAACAACTAGACACAAGGACAGTTTTTTCCTGAATGCCATCACTCTGCAAATAATTCCCTCAACACTGCCCAAGTATTTACAAAGCCTACACTACTATTACTATTAATCTTCTCATCACTCCTTATTACCCATCTCCTCCCACTTGCGACTGTATGAGTGTAACTTTGTTGCTTGTATCCTTACTATTTATATTGACTGTTTCCTAGTATGATTTGATTGCTTATTGTACCCTATGACTATCATTAAGTGTTGTACCTTATGATTCTTGACTCTTGATGAATGTATCTTTTCTTTTATGTACATCAAGAGTATTTGCACCAAGACAAATTCCTTGTGTGTCCAATCACACTTGGCCAATAAAGAATTCTGTTCTATTAATTCTATTCTATTCCCTACCCCTACTCCTACCTCTACCCCTTACTTCTCTTCTCTTCTAATTCTATTCTATTCCTTTCTTATTCTATTCGAATTCTATTCTATTTCTATTCTATTCCTTTCCTATTCTAATTCTATTCTATTCTATTCTATTCTACTCTATTCCACTGGTGTTTCAACCCGACACTTTCAAACTTCTGAAAACCTATTTAAAAGACTCATTTTAATCTAGCGATCTAACAATAAGCACAAAGAACTTTTTTGTTTTTTTTTCATTTTCATAGGTCTGCTTGTCATCACTGAGGCTGAATAGAAAGTGCTTTGCAAAGGTGGCTGGAATGTAGAATAAAAGTGTGAGGAACACATTCACAAGGCCAACGGTATGGGCTTTTCACCTAGGCTCGCTGGAAACCACTGCAGCTTTTGGAGCAGGCTGGGAAAAATTTCACCAAGACCTGACGTGGGATCCAAAGGTGGTTTTTTTGTTTTTTGTTTTCAAAAGGCAACTGGACTTTTTTTTTTTTTAAGTTTTGCTTCAGTCAGAACCGAAGAAGCTTCTTGGATGAGAAGCAAAACCTTTTTAAAAGAAAAATAACAGGTGCCTTTGGGACAGCCATTGACCATCTCCATAGATATCTGATGTGTGAGTATTTCAAGGAGAGACATTTCAAGAATAGAGGTGAATATATGTGTCCCAGGACAATGTTGCATGAATTGATGTCTGTCTGTTAAGTCATTGGCTGTTGTTTGCTTCTGCTGCCTCCTAAGTACTTGATAACCTGGTGGTAAATCACCCCTCCAGTTAAGTGACAATGGGCCGGTTTCCCAGGCTGTTTTTAGGCCTGCTCGTTCCACAATCTTAGTAGCTGCAAAATTAAATTGAAATTAAAGAGACGTTTCACTCAGAGGTGGCATTCAGCAGGTCCTGACCAGTTCTGGAGAACCGATAGTGGAAATTTTGAGTAGTTCGGAGAACTGGCAAAAACTACCTCTGACTGGTCCCGCCCCCATCTATTCTCTGCCTCCCGAGTCCCAGCTGATCGGCTGAGTCTTCTTTGGTTGCCCTGCACAGGAGAACGGAGCTGGAAAGCAGGTTAGTGGGGTGGGGAGGGAATGGGGATTTTGCAGCAACCTTCCCCCAGGAGTGGGGAGGGGATGGGGAGTTTACAGTATCCTTCCCCTGCCACGCCCACCAAACCATGCCCACAGAACTGGGAGTAACGTTTTTTGAATCCCACCCCTGATTTCAGTCTCCCAAGTGTGCCGGGAAAGCCGCTCCTTTAAACATTTTGTCCAGCTGCAGTAAACACACACAAGGCCTCCTGGTTATTTAGACCAGCCAGTCTCCAGAAGGACTGGACTACAACTCCCATAACAGAAACCAGGAGTGGGGCTGCTGCTGGGGGCTTGCAAGGGTTCAGGAGAACCGATTATGTGCAGTTCAGAGAACCCCCAAATCCCACTCCCGGCTGGCCCCGCCCACCTCACCCCACCCCTCCCAGGATTCCCCACACAGCCCGTTTTGGATGCCAGCTAAGGGCAGGGCGCGCACGGAGACTCAGGGAGGGCAAAAAAACGGGCCTCCCAGAAGTTTGGCAAGCGCCGGAATTGAGCCACTTTCCAGCTTCCAGAGAGCCTCCAGATCCGGGGAGGCCATTTTTGCCCTCCTGGAGTCTCAAGAAAAGCCTCAGGAGTCTGGGGGGGGGGGCAAAAACGCCTCCCTCTCGCCGTGGTGCAGGAGGCTGACTAGGCCACGCCCACCCAGCAACTGGGCAGAGAACCCCTTGCTAAAATTTTGGAAGCCCAGCCCTGAAAATAGCCCTCTCGTTCGTTCATCATAAGGGGACTCGGCTATTTTCCCCCTTCCAATTCAGTCCTGATCCTGTCCGCTCAGGGGCCATCCCTCCAGTAGGGCCTCTTCAGGTTGCCCAAGGCCTGCTTTCAGCGGCGTCCAGACAGGCTGAACTAGAAAGAGAAGACTGACCCCAGGCCAGGTTTCTGAGGTAGCTCCTCCTTGCTTCTTTTAAGTCTTTTGCAAGTGGACGGAGGAGTCTGGAAAGCCTGCTGAGTGACGAAATAACCAAGAGCCCAATACCCTGTTTTTATTTTCCTGGACTCTCTCCTCCCTGAGTAATTCACGCACATTCCTGAATCTCTTTTTCTTAGAGAAACTAACCCATGAGAGAAGAGTGGTGGTGAATTACATCCTGAGAACTTGGCACGCTGAAGGAGACCTGTGGGTTTCTTAAGCCTGGAAGACAGCTAACAGATTGGCTCTGCTGGGTTGCATTCTTCCTCTCCAGAATTAAGATTAAAATCCTGGCCTGAAATATCTTTCCCCACTCTGCCTTAGGATTTGGCTGTTTTAGCACCAGAATTAAAAGGCTGATGTAATACCCTTTAATTTTCTTTTTAAAATCAAAGTTGCTGTTGTACATCCATTTTAAAATGTTACTTTTATTTATTTTTTCTTGTTTCACATTTCTGACAACTTCATTTTGGGGTAGTCCTTCCCCTCCCTTCCTTTGCAGGAGCTCCCAAACGTGGCCATTTTAAGACTTCTGGACTTCACCTCCCAGAATTCCTGGCTGGGGAATTTTGGGAGTTGAAGTCCACAAGTCTTAAAATGGCCAAGCTGGGGACTGCTGTTCTATTACAACAGAAAAGGAACTGAGGGGGTCCTTGGTAGTCTCTGAGCTCGGTTGTTTTCTTTCAGACGCTTCATTACCCAAAATAAGTAAGATCATCAACAGCTCATCAGTAATGTTACCTAGTTAGGGTAATGAAACGTCTGCAAGCAAACCACCAAATTCAGAGAGTACTAAGGACCTCACAGTCCTCCTCTTCCTCCTCCTTTTTCCTGCAAACTACTCCCTTCCAGGACAGATGATGTTACCTGTAATGAAATATGTACAAGAAAACAACCAAGCTCACACCAAAGACCTTACAGTGTTCCTCTTCCATCTCTTTCCTGCAAACCCTACTCCCTTCTAGCACTGATGTTGTTACCTAGTTTGGGTAATGAAATGTTTGCAAGCAAACCATCAAGCTCAGAGAGCATCAAGGACCTCACAGTCTTCTTCTTCTTCTTCTTCTTCTTCTTCTTCTTCTTCTTCTTCTTCTTCTTCTTCTTCTTCTTCTTCTTCTCCTTCTCCTTCTCCTTCTCCTTCTCCTCCTTCTCCTCCTCCTCCTCCTCCTCCTCCTCCTCCTCCTCCTCCTCCT